TTGCGGACATGCCGGTCAGTGACTAATAAATTTAAATAGAATTATCGGGAACCATTGTAAACGTACCATTTTTTGTATACTAAGAGTAATTGCGTTCCGCCATATTTTTTGTAATTATTTCGATACTTCTATTACGAAGAGGTTCACCACGCAATTCTAATCAAGACTGTACGATTTTCACTGGCTTTAGTCAATTGACCATATATAATGAGTAAATTCTACGTTCTTACCAAAACCTTCATAATAAGATATACCTTGAAAGCTTTTACATAAATAACCTGCTTTTAAACGTTTTTTTCTTATGCAATTGTGTTTGTATGTCATAATTTCAAAACAACCCAATCATATGAGCTCATTGCCGAGTAAAATGAACGTCCACTACAAAAGTCACGAATGAATATGCTGAAGGTTGATTTAGAAAAATTCTAAAAATTTAACTCTTAAAAACAAGCTTTACTTATATATTTTGGCGTCCGATGTCTGCGTAATTTAATTTTTTGATGATTAAGTCAAGATCAGAATGGGACATTTTGGCCTGTTTGTTGATTGCCCTAATAATTATGGAAAAATCTTCCGTTGTAAATGAAAGAACTAACCCTTCTATATAAATCGGAACAGTTTTCAGTATATTTGGTTACTTCTAGGCTCAGTTCTACAATAACAAATAAAAAGCAGAGTGGCAATAAAATCAACGGTGATTTTTGAGAAAACTATATCGCAATATCCCGTGACAATTCCCTCAAATGTGTGTTATCTTAACTGTCTTCAACGTTTTTTGACTTTACAATCGATTTAATTACTATATACTAAGTAGTACTAGTAGTAGAAGTAAATTCTATTAAACATAATTTTGCGCCTCACATCAACCCAAGCAACAAAAAAATTAACCTCAAATGTGCGTTACGTCCCCCAAACTCCAACCTATCATCAGATATGTAATCTACTGTATATGTATACTTATGTATACATAGAATAAATGATGAACAATTTGATAAATAAATACAAAAAGTAATATATATATAATATTTATTCAGGGTTCGACTTCTCACTAGCAGTCATGCCTGCCATTGGATGACTATTGCGCGTCCGGTAGCTCCACACACTAGTCGAAGGAGACTTGTCTCAATTTATATTTGGGAAAATGGGCTATCAGGAAAGTCGAAGGCAACCCTGCGGTGATTTATCATACAGCACATTGTTTTTGGTTTCTATGATAATCCGTTTATCCGAACATCGCCAACAACGCACTAGGCAGTTGTTTACAAAACGTCAAACATGCCTTTGCAATTGCGTATATGACCAAATAATGACTTGCTGTTTCACAACATTTCAAATGCTCAACTTAACCAAAGAGTATTTGTATATTGCTTACTGGCGAACGTGCAAAATCGAAACATGTTTGTCTTTTGAAATTCTCCGTAATTTAAAAAAAAACATTTAAAGCATGCTAGAGTGGATTTTTCGTGTGACTAGGAGTACACTTTAGACAACATCTGGTCAGCAAAGTACGTTGACTTTTTCATTAAATATGAAGATGTGAAACCTGCGAAGAAAAATTAACAATAGCCGGACCTGGCGTTTGCTAGAAGCACAATGGAAGGACTCTTCGGTTTCTACATATAATCCCTTACGAACTATCTTACTGAATATACAATATTAACTAAAGGACGCATGCGTTGATGGTGTTTGAATTGCCCACGGCCTATGAATGTTAATTGACAGGCATCAGTAAAACCTCTACTTGGTTAAAAACCACAATTTCCTTATCCAGACCTGGGTTTGAATATGCAAACATTATTAGTTATGAAATGACCATCTCCATCTTCTTTCTGTTGGGCACTGCTCAAACTCTCGTCCCTATCTCTTTCCCTCATTGAATCATATTTTATTTGGAATACAAGCATTTACGCAACTATAAGCATAGTTTGCTAAATGCATAGCAAATTTTGTAACTGTCCAACTAAATGTTGCGGTTTATATCGTATTTCGTAGGTCGCCTGCGGTTAACTGGGACCTGGATCCTTACAAAATCTTTGTAAAGCCGCTGCCCGAGGCTATGAAAGAGTGCGATCTGCATTCCTATTTCTCACAATTTGGCCTTATCACCGAAGTTATCGGGCCCATTGAGAAGAAAGGCACGGCTTCTGTTCGCTGTGGGTTCATAACTTTCCTCGAAACCCACTCTGTTAGACGTGTGCTTGAGGCCCAGCCACTTCTGTTAGACGAGAATCACTTAATTGCCCGCTTGGCAAGAAAAAAACCTCTGGACGACAATGGGTAAGGTTATGATATGTGCAGACAATTGCTTTTATTTACACGGGGAACCTATGGGTACTGGTTTCTGGTTTACAATTGCTATACCTGTTTTTCATTGCACAAGAAAATTACATATACCTATTACGTCTCCCTATAAATCAGTGACGATATAGTATCACTTAAATAACAGTTCGACCACAGATTTCGATTATTTCGAAAATATGCCTGTCTTGTAGTCAATTAGATTACGTTTCGAGAGACAACGCACAAACCCCGGGTACCGACTTTCTGTATGATTAACTCAACGTTTGCAATGCCTTTATCTCGCAAGGTAGTGTCAGTTACCGCCTTCTAACTAACCATATAATTCCTACCATATCCAGCTATAGTTGGGAGGTTACGGAACGCATCCTG